ATCTCAAGTGAGATGCTCCCCCCGTCCAGGGAGACGCAGACAGCGAATGAGTCGCTCGCCCGGGACACCCACAACTGATTTGGGGACCAATTTGTTTAACAGAAACATCAAGGTGAATTGGGAGGGCACGGCTGACCCAGGGCAGGGTTTGCGAGCCCGCTGCCGGGATGGGAACGGGCCACAGAGGCCAAAGAGCCTCCCGTGAGCCCTGAGCTGCTGCCACTGAGCTCCTCACCCGGGCAGGTCTTGCTAAAGCTGCCGAGCTGAAGCCCCCTGGACCCCTGACACATCTCAGCCTGCGGCCAGGACCGTGCGGAGGGGAGCAGAGGGCAGGCTCAGCGGGTTCCCGTGCCCCTCACCACCCAGACCCCATACTGGGCTGGGACTGCTTGGGGGATGATGCTGATGTGCGCCCGGGGGGGAGCTGCTCACGTCTGGGGGTCCATCCCCGCTCAACCCATGCTCAGGGATTTGGTGGTACCTGGGCATTAGGACTCGGCCAGCGAGACTCCCGCGAGGTTCCCGGGGGGGGCTCGAACCAAGGTGTGACCCAAAGGGAGCAAGGCTGAGGCAGCAGGGGGTCCCACTGCCACCGAGGCAGAGGAACTGGGAGGTAAAAGAGCAGCCAAAGGGCAGAGCCGGTACAGCTACACCCGGCCCTCTGTGCAAGACCTGGAGCTCAGGAGGCACGAGGAGCGGCATGAGCCGTGCTTAGGCCAGAGGGGACGCACGGGGGACACTGCGTGGAGGAACAGAGCCCCGGGCACGGCAGGCAGAGAGAGGAGCTGGCAGTCGGGCCACGCAGCCCGTTGCAACCCGGACACTTAGGATCTGGGACCAGGGCTTGGACACAGCATCCCGGGGAGGACCCCCAGCACTGAACCGGGGCCCCAGCGCTCCTGGAGCTACGACCCCCAGGCGTAGGGGTTAGACACGGACCCAGGCTTGCTGACCAGGGGGAGGCAAAGGTCCCGCTGGGACCCAAGGGGACGTAAGCCAGAGGATCTGTGGGTCCCCCAGTCCAGCGGGATGGAGGGAAGGGGAACTGAACAACCGGAGCTGGCACCCCGCTCCTGCCTTTCCACCCGGGGGAGCCCAGTGCCCCCCACTCGCTCCCCAGCCCTCCCCGCCCCAGCCCGATCCCAGGGCTGCAACCGGTCCATATCCCGGCCCCCACTGGTCCGACCATCCCCGAGGCACTGCTGCACCCCTCCCTGCCTACCTGCCCGGCTGAGGGGGCCCGGGGCAGCGTGTCCCCAGCCTCCTCCTCCTCCTCCTCCTCACACCCTGCCTGCGAGGCAGGCATGCCAGCCCCGGAAACCGGGCGAGCTTTATGGCCGCCAGCAGCCCCAAACATATAAAGTTCGTGTGATAACGGGCCAGAGGAGGGATCGTAAAAGCAAATGATTTACAGGCTGGAGGTGGCTGCGAGCCGGGGACGTGCTGCGCTGGGCGCCCGGGTGGGAGAAAAGGGCTTCTCCCCTCCAGAGGGACCCCCTCGCCCGGTCCCGGGGGCCGATCCCCCAGCCCCGCTCTCCACGCAGCCCAC